AGAACAGAAGAGAAGAAAAGAGAAGAGAAGAGAAGAGAAACAACTTGGATCGCCCGAGGCTTGTTTCTTTTACTCCTATTTTACCTGATTTTACAGTCCATAGTTGAGTGGGGTATCGTGTTGTAAAATTTGAAAATGTAGTGGTAGTGCGTGTGGAGTGAAACTCACGGAAGAGACCCGTGAGGGGAGTGATGGTCGTAAGATATAATATATGGTCCTATATATATACATAGCACAAAGCGATAACTGAATACATAACATGTACTGTGGGTGTTGCAGCTTAATCCCTTGCTCGAAAAATAACTCCACCGACCTTTAAATTGATGTTTCAGATATCAATTAATTGCCCAGGACGCTCTTGCCTCCCATTTTAATTTATTTTCTCAAATGTTGTCGGAATATGTCTTAATATGTTAACTGAAGCAGTTGACGGTTAATTTGTCTTACGAGTGTGACACTATATGGTTTATTGCGGCTCTCCTATCAAGTATAACGATCTGCTCGCTACAGTCGTGGTTCAGGGGACGGGAGGGGATTATTGAAGTGTGTGCGTGATGATGGAAGGACGCAGGTAAAAGCTTATTTACTTTTTTCCGCAGTAATAGAATATTACTAATAACTCTTAGGAGACTAAAAAAACATTCCAATTTAAAACTCATCAATACATAATGATTAACGGTTCTACTGTTTTTCTATTTCAAGTTCCAATAAGCGTGCGTACTAAAGTTTCGAATTCTCTGTCGCTAACCTCGATTTTCTGTAGAATATTCACAAGTTTCAGTCAAGGTCCGCGGAATTTCAAAGTGTTTGTATTGTCGAAGTTGTGCATTCTTTACTTTATTATTGGCATTTGTGAATATTTAAACACTGATTCGAGGCTAAACCCTTAGTAAATGAGTCTGTAATCAAAGAACGCAGCGGTATTGATGGGTTGCAAGCATTCCCAAGAGAGTTAAAAGACAAAAACATGGCGGCCATTGTGGTACCGTTAACAATGGATGCTAATGAGAAATCTTTTGTTAAATGGTACCAACATGGCCGCGATAACGTAACGTGCAAACGAAGAATTGTAAGAAAAAAAGTAAGAGGTATAATTTTCAATCGAATCAAAATCCAGCCAAAATAGGCTAACATATTCCATCTTTTATTAAATGTGTATCTGTTATAATACATAGAAAAAATATAGATTACTTATATAGTGAATGCAATAAATGAAACCTAGCCAAGTTATTGGGATTAAAGTGGGGCTTGTTATTATTATGTCAATCACGGACTATGATCGTTCAATATTTACAACGATATTTTATCGATCTTAAAGTGGCGGGCAAACTACTTACAAAATTGTATTCATTATCAATATTACTTTATATGGATAGGGTGTATATATCATATATCCGTGAAAAGCGTCGTAAGAAATTGCACCAATTTGCAGAAACTAGTAAGTTCAGTAGTAGACCTCTTTTGTTAGTTAACTTTGTCACGGATATATGGTTTGCACTCTACTGGTGTATATGGATATATGGCGTTATATAATCATTATGCAAAAGAGGTCCCAATGACGATCGTGTGGCACTCCATAGTCGAAATTTAAGAGCTGCAAACGACTTCACGACAGACTGGGCAACTGCGGTTGTTCTGTTAAAACAAAATAATCACAAATTATTTATTTATTTATTTGTTTGTTTACACACATATATGTGTGTGTGTGTGTGTGTGTGTGTGTGTGT